AAATGTTTAGAATATTTAAAACAACAACAACAAATGTTATTTTAAAATCAAAAAAGGTTGAATCATGTCATCTGGACTTCGAAAAAACGAAGTCCAGATGACATGATTCAACCTTTTTTGTTGTTATATACCTGGATGACTGAGAAAACAAACTTTGTGTTATTTTAAAATGTTTTTCTTGTAAGTGTAGTGAACTAGGCCTGAGGTCAAATCCTGACCTTAAGGACCTTATGGGACAGAAACTGTCATTTCATTGATTTGAATCCAGAAATACAGGTTGACCCATCCTGAGACTTTCTTTCTTGAATTGATCAAGTGAAAGAACACTACTTTCTATTATCATTACTATTTTACAAATGTTTTGATAATCAAATCAAGTTAGTTCAAACCATTTTTTAAATGTTGAAGTGAACTACTCATTTAAATCAACTGTGAAACAGTATTAGTGATTTTTAATCCTCATTCAAAGTAGAAATCAGATTAATGATGCATTGTCTGATTTTCTGTCTTCAATGAGCAAGTTGTGTAAGTTGGTCAAAGGTCAAGTTTCGGTCAACTGCAAGTTTACTGAAAAAGAAATGTCATGTTTAACTTTTACAGCAAGATACTAGAGAATTGACTCCACGAAGTCTGAGTTCTTCATAATATCTTCTGTCTGTTCTTAAACAATCTTAATCTTTTTTCCTTGACTTTTAATAACCTCTTACATCACAAAACACACCTCTGTTTTGGTCCATCGACCAATCAGAAAGTTCTCAAATGAACCGGAAGTGAGCTCTTTTAAAAGGTGCAACACTTCCTAGTTCACGGTAGTTCTGCGGTTCTGAGAGCAGTTCCAGAGTTCAGAATGCTGGAATTCAGGATGCTGGAGGAAGTTCTGAAGTTCTGAAGTTCTGAGAAGTTCTCGGCAGTTCTGGGAAGAACTGAGGAGAACGCTGAGAGAATGCTGTGAGTTGGTTCCGAGAGCAGCAGAGTCCAGAATGCTCAGGACATCTGCGACTAAGCTGAACAAGAGAAGTTCAGAGGAATTATGAAGAAGTCTGTTCTAGGATGATCTCACGACTCCTGAGATTTAGCTGTTCTTACGGAGACGCTGGAAGAGTTGAAAGGAAAGCTCTACACCAACGCTGAAACTATCATCTGCAAAGGTAAAGAGTCGATCTCAACCAAAGTGTACCATTGGGTTAAGCTGGTCCAAAGGAGCGTGTTGTTCTGGTTATAACAGACAAATTCCCTCACCCATCTCTCTCAACTTAAACTTCAATTTCCATCTTTAAAATTCTTCTATCCTGCTGCAAATCATTCCAGATATTTTCAGAAATGTCTGTTGTGAAGCAAGGTTTTCAACAAAGGTTAATCAAATTGTACAGCTTGCTAACTAAGCCATGTTGTTATTTTCATTTTGCCAATTTAATGTAAATGTGTGATGTGTTAAACTTTGATTCTGTAAATAAATGACCACGTTCATTTTGATGGGTCAAAGATAAACACGTTTCCGTCCACATTTAATAATTCAACACACGACATTATTCAGTCCAGAAAAATGAAAGAATCCGTTTAATTTATGAATATATCACAGCATGTGTTCATCTACATAAGCATCCTGTGACCCCCACACTTCAAAAGATTTTTATGGTCATAAAATGACAACTTCAGTGATGGAGACAGATTTTTATCTAGAAAAAACTTCATAGTTAGGAGGCTGTTCTTTAAAACCTCCTGACACTGTGACTGTTTTAGATCTTCTAATGTAACTGTAGAGAGAGGTGCTGTCAAGTTCACGTTCAAGTATCTTTATCGTCATTTGCATCACATGTGGTACATCAGGTAGAACGAAATTGTGTACTCAAGGTCCCAGTTACACTCAAAAATAGCAAAAATATAAAGTATAAAAAGAAAGAGTATATAAGTATACAGTGTACAGTATACAGTATATATAACATATAAGTATATTTCTTCATTTCTTATTTGTTAATTTTTTCCCCATTTTTCCTTAATTTTCCTGATTCTGTCCAAGTCCAGTACTTAAACACAATGTTAGATAAACTGTACTTCCCCCTTTTTGGATCTAAATACTGAGGTTTCTGTCTTCTAAAGGAAATACTGTAGCTTAAAAAAGAAAACTCATAATTAAAAATTAAATCAATTGACCCATATTAGACTGTTCATGATTATACAAAAAGCTGGTGAAATGTGCTTGATGGGACATTCATGGCACACCAAAAAAGAAGTTGCTTATTTTTTCAAGTTATCCGGCTCACAAAGATTATGTATGTATGGCAGCAGCCATATTGGATTATAACATGGAACCAATGGTTTTCAAGTGGAACGTTTCCTTTCACCGATGCAGCCACAAACCAATAAGAAAGTTGCCCTGTTGCTTATTTTTCAAGTTTTGAAGCTTACAAGGTTTTCATGCAAATAGCGGTGGTGGCCATCTTGGATTTTGACCTAGCAACCCAATTTTCTAAAGGAACTTTTCTTATGCTATATGCAGTCACACACCAAAATGGAAGTCTGTCCCTCACTTATTTTTCAAAAGGGACAACAAAAGACATTCTGTGAATGAAGTAATAAACTGTATAAACCAAAAGTAAAGATCAATGTAACTGTTTTTTGTTTTGCTAACTGCTAACCTAAATGCTACTTAACAACTTATCTTGACATAAAACCCATAAGTTGTCCCTGAAACATGACTTCTCATTTTTAACAAAAACTTTTTTACAATGTTCACTTAAAGCAGGTCTTTAAAAATAATCCTTTTACTTGAACACCCCATGTATCAGAGCAGCTTTGTTCATCCCCTGCACAGTCACATCTCAAAGGCATCAGGCCAATTTGAAATCACTGCAGTCATCGACATCCTCAGGAAAAAAAAAAGTGAAAATCTCTGTCTTTGAAATTTTTGTGCATTGAAAAGATTTTTAGCAAACAAACCAAAGCAGAGCCCACAGCCTGAAGTTATACAGAAAAACCTACCAGAAGTTGGTAGGTGCAGAGTGTCACTCGGTCAGCTCTTCTCCTCTGCATCTTTCAGAATCACAGCAAGTCAGCAGCCCTGACTGCTGACAGGGGAGCAAAGCAAAAGAAGAGAATAGTTAATCTCTACAGATGAATCTGATACAAGCTCTATCTGTTTTCCAATTAAACCCAAAGAGACGGCTGCAAAGAATAAACTGCAGACCCCTGCAAACATCACCATGTTCATTTGTATCCCACCAAACCTTCTTATCTCTGAGGGTCAGTGTGTGAGATCATCAAAGGCCCACAGTGGTCTTTAAACTGACAGTTTTCACAAACATTACAGTAACTCTCCCATCATCACAATAACATTCATAAGACATCTGATCAAGTACTTTTAATATGGTTGAATGGCACTTTAGTTTTGTGATACAATAAAACTCAGTGGCAACTTAGATGTGGAGATGCATACAAAGTGTATTAAGGCATGGATGGTGTGTTTATCTAGATTAGGAGGGGAGAAGAGAACCATTTTAACAACGTTCTGGAATCAAATATCCAGGATACATAATGTCAGATACTTGATGTGAGGAACAAACACGTTTCACAGTTTCCAAATTTGTCAGAGTCCATGTTAAACTTTGGCCCAAAGAAGACACACACACATAGTCTCTCATTTTCATGATAGAGCTTCAGCCATCATTTGTGGATGCCACGGTGATAAATGTGTTTACAGACAATGATTGGTAGAAGTGTTCTAGAGTCCATGCAATGATTTCTAGAGCAGAATCAGAACGATTTTAATGCAGTCCTGATTTAGGGCCTGGAGAATATTGACTTTCAGCTTTGTTCTTTGACCTGAGATTATTTCAGTCCAATGATGATATAATGAACACAAAGTCTTACCAATATTTTGTTGACAAACATTATTTTGAAACTGTGCCATTATCATTAGACACAGCTTTTGGTGAACCTCTGTCCATCTTTACTTCTGAGAATGCCTCTCTAAAATGCTCTGCAGTTGCCAACTAAATTCTTTGCCAAACCATTTTTCCAGCTGTTTCTTATTCATATCACTGACTGTTGCAACCTTTGGTTGCTCCTGCCTCAACTTTTTTGAGATCCATCCATCCATTATCTTTACCCGCTTATTCCATTTTGGGTCACGGGGGTCGCTGGTGCCCATGTCCAGCAATCACTGTGCGAGGGGCGGGGTACACCCTGGACAGGTCGCAAGTCCATCACAGGGCCACATAGAGACAAACAACCATTCAGTCTCTCACTCACACCTAGGGACAATTTAGAGTTACCAATCAGCCTAACATGCATGTTTTTGGTCTGTGGGAGGAAACCGGACTACCCGGAGAAAACCCACGCATGCACGGAGAGAACATGCAAACGCCACCCAGAAAGGCCCCTGGACCGGGGTTTGAACCAGGGACCTGCTCGCTGAGAGGCAGCAGCTCTACTTTTGCGTCACCGTGCTGCCACTTTTTTGAGATATGCTGCTGTAATAAAATTCAAAATGTATCAGTCCTTTAAATGGTATTTCTTTGTTAAAAAAACAAACAAAAAAAAGGTTTGAAATTTGCAAACCAGTGCATTCAGTTTTATTTTCATTTTGCACCAGGTCCCACCTTGGGGTTGTAAAATGAGTCACATAACTGTGGAGAAAAAAGAAAAGAAAATGTCCATAAAGCAAATAAATTTGTGTAAACTAACAGGCTTCTTGTGATTTTTCTCCTCTCCAAAATATCCATCCTGGATTTGTATCTGTGGTTCTGAAAGGCAGGTTTTTTTTTTTTTTTTTTTTTTTGGAGTCGAAGAATAATTTACAAATTTG